ACACACAAACACACACACACACAAATACACACACAAATACACACAAATACACAAATACACACAAACACACACACAAACACACACAAATACACACACAAATACACACACATACACATACACACACTACACACAACACACACAAACAACACACACACAACACAACACACACAACACACACACACAACACACACACAAACAACACACACACAACACAACACAACACAACACCACACCACACCACACCACACCACACCACACAACACAACACACATCACACACACACACACACACACAACACACAACACAACACACACCACAACACACACACAACACACAACACACACAACACACACACACACACACACACAACACACACACACACACAACACACACAACACACACACACACACACACACACACACAACACACACACACACACACACACACACACAACACACACAACACACACAACACACACAACACACACAACACACACAACACACACAACACACACAACACACACAACACACACAACACACACAACACACACAACACACACAGCACACACAGCACACACAACACACACAGAACACACACAACACACAACACACACACACAACACACACAACACACACAACACACACACCACACACACCACACACACCACACACACACACACACACGCGCAGCGCCACGACACATGTGGCAGGACGTGTAAGCAACGGGCCCCGATGGAAAGCGAGGCGCGAATACGATGCGTTCGACCCCGCCCCCCTCCCACCGCGTCCGTTACCTCCCCCACCCCTCAGACTCATAGCTCGAAGTCCCCAACCGGGGCGTCGCTCCACCGCCCAATTCTTACGCGGGAGAGCGCTTCAGCAGTTCATGCCGCAAGCAATGATGTGCTCCAGCACCACATTCTTCACGAAGGCAATCGTTCCAGCCTCCACTGCGTGCGTTCCAGCAGTACATGTTCACAAGGCGCGGGCGATCGAGCTCAACGTGCACTTCATCATTGCATTTGATATCGCGCATGGGCGTTTGCAGCTCGGTCTCAACAGACGAGGACAAACCCACCTATGGTGGCAAGATCTGTGGCTGACTGTACGGGTGTGGGGATATCTTGGTCAGGGCAACGAATTCTCCCAGATGTCATATCCCAGATTCCATGCCCCCTTTTTTCCATGCGTTCCCTGCCCCCCCTCTTCTGCGAACATGCCTTGTGCCATGATGCGCCACCCCCCCACCTCCTAGCCCCCCTCTTCGCCGCACCCGATATTCGTTCACTCATAGTTCGATGACCCTCAGGACGAATATTAGCCTAGTGTCTGCCTGCCCCGTTCAGCTTCACCGCTGGCACGCAGCCTACGTCTGCCCTCATTACACCGCCTGCGTCGCACTGGGCAATCTCACATCGGCGCTAACCACACGCGTTCTCAGGAGTACCGATCTTTTCGGGTGGATGAGTAAGCACAACACGTGGAAACATATCATCGTCCTCGTCCATCCTCCCGCTTCGATCCTTCCCTCCTCCATCCGTCGTCCATCCTTGTCCCTCCCTGCCCCTTCCTCCTTCGCCCCACTCCGTCTCTTCCACGCCCTCCTCCTCCTCCCTCCCCTCCACCCAGCGCTTCTCCACCGTCCCCCCCTCCCTCCTCCTCCTCTTGCTCCTGTATCCCCCCTGTCCTCCATCCCTTGCGCCTCCCTCCACTCTCCTCCTCGTCCTCCGCGCCTCCCTCTCCCGCGCTGCCCGCGCTGATCCCCCCCCCTGAACGCCCCCCCCTCTGCGTAGACCTCAGCCCTTGCGCCTCAGCCGCGTGCTGGCCCTTCCCTGGCTCCTGATGTGCCACGGCAGTCGCGTCTGGACGCCTCCTGCCGAGTCGCTAAGGCGTTCGAGCATGGACCCGTGTGGAACGCAGCCATCCGACGTTCGCTCCGAAGGCCGCCGGAGACTGCCCAAGACCGGCAGAAATCGCCGAAGACCTTCAGAAGACCGCCGAAGTCCGTCCTAAGACCGCCGGAGTCAACCCAAGAGCGACAGATAGGATAACCAGGGGTCCATAGTCGTGCTGTCCGCTCCCACTTTTGTCATCCCTTTCGAGATTCCCCTGTTGCGGGCTGCCTTCGACCGGCACCCAGGCGGCGGAGCAGTCGATCACCACCGAGCTCCCGAGCCCCGCCAGCCCGCTGCCCTGCTGA